CCCCCCCCATGCCACGCCACACCTTACAGAGCGCGCTCGCAGCGTTTCAAATTAGATTTATAAAACAAGATTAGGAGGTGGGCCTCAAAATGTCAGAGCCTGGCTCCTTTTCCCCAGTCCCCACCCCCATTTCTTGTTTCGAAAAGAACTTGCTCCATTAGTCTCCAGCTCCCATCTCATATGTTGAGTCCAATATCTCGACCCATCACACACCCTGGGTCATAGACCTGAGCTCAAGTTGCCCCCCCCCCCAGCAGAATTCAATATGTGCCATTTAATTGGGTGTGATGAGATCAGGTGGTGGGGTGTATTGTATCATTTAATCTCAGGCACCTTCTCTTTTTTCAGAGGAGGTGACAAGTGTGTACCTTTCCAGGTGTGATTTATGGAAGACATTTGAGCCAGGGCTGCACTTTCAAAATTCAATTCAGTCAGAGCTGATGCGCCCAAAATGTATTGACATTTATTGTTAAGATCCAAACAATACGAAAGAAAAACGCACTTGCTGGAATTGTCTCTTAAACTAATACGATGCAATTCCGGTCATTAACATTAATTTGGTCTACATTGATGACAGTGAGCCGTGAGCTCTTTTTCTGATGTGCCGTGGAAATACAAGTAAAGGTTTGTGCCCGGCCCCTGTAATGCTTTTGCAATAATTGACAGACTCAGTAAGCGGCAGCCAGGGGCAGGGCGTGGGGCTTTCAGACCCCCAGCTCTCCAAATCTATCCTCTTTGTCCGTCCCCCTCAAGCGGTCTTTGAACAAATCACGACCACAGCATGACCAGTCAGCGCATAGCCAATCAACCGCGCACACAGCAGATGAGACGGACTGACACGCTGAACAAATGTTGAGCAAACCGGCAGCCCGCAAGAGGCTAAATACATCGCATGGGTTTTTCCAAACAAGCATTATAAGATCAGGGGAAAGAAGTGTGGCTAATGTAGACAATTTATCACAAATTAATAGGTAACGTAAACTTTAAGAGATAATGTGAAGAGATTCAGTCATTATTATTATTATTATTATTATTGTCACACTCACAGCCCTTTCAGATCAAAAGTTATGAGCATTCTGTTACGCGACGTGTCATGAAAGTATCATATGTGAGGATGCAATCATTCATGTTTTACACTTGTAAAAACAATAAGTGTGAATCGCCGTGCTGACCCGAAAACTAAAACATTATTTTTACCTAAACTGGCGACTTTGCTTGTGATTTTAATGCTCGAAACAAACCCAATCTTGACTTGCCGCTCAGACTTTGGGCTTTCTTCTTGACACATATTTTCAAACTTTATTACGACGCTATCAGGAGGCCTTGAACATATTTCCTATCGAGGAATCCCGAAGCCATGATTGATTACAATACATAAAAACCATGTTTTGGAATGTGTGGAACGTGTGATTGTGTAAATGTGTTGTTAGTAAGTATGTAAATGGGCTTACTATGATACACTCACCTACAGTTTGTTGTGAAAAATGAAAACACAAACGGTCTCACTTCATGTCTTATCTAGTTGCCTTTTAACAGAAAATTTCTCAGCAATCACAACATTTCTAAATTTCAATTTTTACATTTTTTTTTTGTATTATTTGTTATTGTTGTCTCATGTTTTCTGGCTGGGTCGATTCACGAGAAGTAAATGAGCATTTACACACACGCACGCACACGCACACACACACACTCACACACACACACACACACACACACACACACACACACACACACACACACACACACACACACACACACACACACACGTTTCCTCTCTGTACATACCGTTGTCGTGGAAACTGGAGACAGAGACCTTGCTGCTTCACCACCTCACTCTGCCTCGCACATGCACGAACAGTCACCCGCTCGCACAAACGCACATCATCATCATCATCGTCATCGTCGTCATCAAACCATTAAGTCAATACTGAAGCATTGTTTCGCCTTAAGTGGAAGAATAAGTGAAATGGGTGGAAACTGTTCTTACTTAGCACGTGCATGCAGTTTCCGCCTACAAGGTGTCATAATCATCAAGTGATATATTACGCAATCGCTATGCCTAACATGGAGGCGGGGAGGGGGACCCCGACGTGGGCAGGTCGCACATTCCAGTTACATCAGAAGCAATCAAGGAGGAAGCATATTGAGACGCCAGGGCGGTGGATGAATGTGGAAGAAATGAGGGGAGAGACAAACGCGAGTTCATGTGGAGTTAATGAAAGCCACGGAAAGCAAATGTGTAAACAACCGAGAAGCAACCGGAAGCCTGTTTGTTGGCAACAAATGATCCATCGCCTCATCGTTTGTGGAAAATCTTGATGGTCAAGCGGTGGCAAAAGTGGTCCTCCCTACCTTCCAACTAAAGTGGGTCAGCGTGGACGGCACCATCGTGTCTTCGCGTCACGACTATGAAAAGTATTTCAGGGAGCATCCTTCAGTGATGTCAGAAAACACCTCAGGCTTCTCCGCCTCTCACAGGCGTGCACACCAAAAGCTTCTTACAACTCTCCCAAACATCGCGATGCTGAAGGGTGCAGACACTAGCCCCCGCCCTCCTTAACACATCCCCGATACCCGCCTTTGCATTAAAAAAATAAATAAATAAATACAAAATACTGTGTAGTGTATCAGAATGAAAATGCTGCAGGACCAAAATGAGAGTTGAAATAAGCATGTGAGGGTGTCCCATTTTGGGTAAAAGCATGCTGCACAAGCTCCCCGGTTCACTGCACCTAACACAAAATGTTGCAGCAAAAATTACGCGGCAGCCTTCCTCCAGCCTTCCGTGCGTGTTAGACAGAACAAATTGAAAACAACTCTTACCCACTGGCGTTTTAGAGCTGATGCAGCCCATTTTTGCAGCTGCATGTAGACCAGCTTGCACACAGAGACGATGCCTATTGAGTTTCCCCCAAAGGAAGCGTACCTCATAGAAGGAGAGCCACACACGCTCGCTCCTCTCATCCGAGGAAGCTCCGCTTGGTTGCGGTGGTGGTGATGATGGTGGCGGTGCGGCGTAGTCAGGCTGCCGGGATGACACCGAGGGCGGGGGGCAGGTTGCCCATCACTTTGTCTCGCGTCAATCTCGGTTGAGAGTTGCTTATCAGCACCTCAGCGGAGGGACGGCGTGGATCTCCCCCGCTGCCAAGAAGCTCATTTTGGAAGGGAGATCTCGGGCTGTCTAGTCCACACCGGTATATATCTGCGCTCTGCCTCGCGAGCAATCAAGAGTACGACAGACACATGGATAGCCAAACCCAAGCTCACACGCGAGTTGTTTATATACACGCTTAGGTGTCATATAGTGTCCGCCTCCTTGCACTGTTTTGCTCTCATGGTAAGAAGCGCAATGTGATGTGATTGGCTGGTGTCACCTTACATGTCAGCCAGCCCTCGTGGGGAGGGGAGGAGATACAGTAAGAGGAGCGAATTGTCAACTAGTGGCATTGTATTTCTTCTCGTCTCCAGCACAGAGCGTTTTGAAATTGTGCAGTGTCATAATTGGGAACATTCACTTGCACCTGCCGCAATGAAGGGACGACATCTGCGATGACTCCATCTTCAAGGAAGGCAAATAGCGTTGCCATGATTTACGAGTTCATTAAATCAATCCGTGACCGAGTTCGTGACTCAATTGACTTGCACAAAGCCTAATTCCAGTGAAGTTGTGTATCACGCACATCAAAACAGAGGTCAATGATTTGCATGTATACTTTGTAGCCTGGAATACACCACAACGGTGAGCTATTTAATCTCTAAACTGATTCATGATATTTGCGTTTTTATGGGGGGGGGGGGCATTTGATGCCTACAACACGTTCCCAAAAATCTGAGACAGGGGCAATTTTTTTTCTCCCCACCCCCAATTTTGCTGCTGTCGACTACAAATTTCCCCAGTGTGGGACAAATAAAGTTTATCTTATCTTATCTTATTAAAGAGACGAGAAAAAGCGAAGAACCCCCTGAAAATACCTACTTGGAACATTCCACAGGTGAGTGGCTTGAAAAAAGAAACATCCCCGAAATGCTCAGTTGCACAAAAGCAAGGAACGTGTGATGTTCACCTCTTTGTGAACAACTGCATGAGCAAATAGTCCAACAGTTTGAACAACATAGTCACAAGTGATTTGGGGATTTCATTTTCTATGGTCCATATCATCAGGCCCAAAAGCAACACTCAAGCGCTGGCCTACCCGCAGCTCACTGTAATTCAAATTTTAGCTGACAACATAAGACAAAAATCGATAAAGCGGCAGGTTATAACGTGAAAGACATGTAAGTTGGGGAACTCGTAAGATAAGGCGCCACTGTCTCAGCTGGTGTTTCTAAAATAAGCGGCATGCATTTTCAACGCACTCAACTTATTGTTATATGTGAATAGTTGGTGAATGACAGTGAGCAAAAGGGCCTATTGTGAGGTCCATTGTAGGCCACTCAGAAGCATCTTCATTCTCCCTGCGTCTCTCTCTTGCTCGCTTGACGCCCACCACGACTCTAAAGATAGCTGTGCACTGCTGCTCTTCCACGGTGCCCATTATCTGGTACCAAAGAGCCAATCAAGGGGCTCCTTTGAGGTTTCTTTTACATCCATCCCCAAAGAGAATAATTATGATGCTCCGAAATATAAAATGAGGGCCTGTATGGGTTCTCAGAGCATGCCTTTTATGGCGCGCCTATTCACCCATCGGGCACTTCGAAACAATGTTCTGGATCCTATTCCACTGATATTAATCTGGCATTTCTCATTAAAGCATCGTGCGGTCTCAACAGATGCATTTTGATACACTGTAGTGTTCTTTTAAAATGTTATCCAGGAGTTCATTTCTGTATGATGGTGGCAGATGGATCCAGTTGCATTTTTTTTTCAGCAGACATTAATTTCAGCGTCTTTATAATGGGCAAGAGAAAAATGCCTTCAAGCCACCTAAGGGAAAAGGTGTAGGCGAATATGAACATTTTAGTCATCAAGAGAGCTTCATCATGCAAAATTGCACGTATAGACCGGGGCAGGCCTGAGGGGTGGCACCCTCGACTGAAAGCTGGCCACTCCATTGGCCACATCCATCGTATAGGCATTACTCCAGAATGGCTCGTTCGTGAGAAGATGAGTGTGGGTGAAATTTACAACGGCCAGAGGCGAATAATTAGATTACAAACGACAAGTAAGTTACTGATACAAGAGTGAAGGATGATTTTCATATTTTCATTGTAGCTTTTATGACTGAGTCTCTGATGGTGTGTGTGTGTGTGTGTGTGTGTGTGTGTGTGTGTGTGTGTGTGTGTGTGTGTGAGTGTGTGTGA